AGATAGATAGATATATATCTATCTTTGCTATGCCTATGAAGAATATATTCTCAGTTATTTGTGGTTTTCCATTTTCAACTAATGTGAACGTTCTTATTAACCTTTGCACTGACAACATCTTCTAAAAAGTCCAGGGAGAACAACTGGTTCATTTGAAACGTTTACACAGAGCCATGTAGACCAACAAGACTATCTTGATTATCTAGTTTGACTTCCTGTAGAGCATACATCAAAACATTACACCCACAAATTCTGAATGAGCAACAACATATTTCTAAAAGGCCATTCAGCTCTGATTTAAAGAATATAGACAACAGAAGTTTGGGACAGAAGAATCCCAGGCTGTGGCCAAGGACACAAACTGGGCTGGCTACATAGAAAGTCTAGCATAAGAAAGATGGAGAAGTCTTGTTCCACTTCGATTGAAAGTTGCAATCATTCTTAAAAATAAATAAGACAGTCTTTCCTAAATGTTTAGCTTTCTCCCTTCCCAAGGCAATTTGAAAGACAAAACAGCTCACTCTGCGTATGCCTAATCAACTTTTAGCATTAAGTTTTCACATTCTGCAACTTGTCAGAACGTAAACAGCTAATTTTTTTTTAAAAGTGAATTAACCACGTCACATTAATAAGTCCTATGATGTTAAAAAGACCAAAAAGATCTAGTTTGATTTTAAAAAAATCCTCAGGAACAGAACTGAATAGTCTCTCTGTGTTACCCCAGTGTGGGTGTCTTGGCTATTTGCAAACAGAGATAAAAATCTGTGAGCAACAATTCGGACTTCCATGCCTCAACTTGTTCAGGGAGCAATATTCTCACTTGGAGCTTTTGATTTGACTAAATTACTTTAAATCAACAGCACAATAGGGAAAGTGAGGGAAGCACAATCAGCAAGACACTCAGAAATATTCTACCCAACATTATTAGCAAAGTTTTATTCAACATAATCTGCTTCAAGAGTCACTAGAGCAGTTGTGAATGTCTGTTGAATTTAGATGCCTTCTTCCCCTGGCACAAGAAAATAAATGCTTACGACCATGGTGCTTTGAGAGCATGCAAATAGTTTTGGTGGGGTAACCATGCTTAAGAATTACCATCACTATGACTGAAGCACAGCACTTCTAGTGTTCCCCAATTCAGATGGTGATAAATTGACATTTTCAACAAGTGAGCAGAAACCAGCCATGACCATGTAGTACGTTCCACATAGCCAAAGGTGATGGTAACGGAGACTATTTCAGTTTTTGTTTTTCATTTTAAAAGTAGTTGCAAAGATAAAAATGACAGAACTACAGACGGACAGAATCTGTGAAGACACATTAAGCTTTTAGCAACAGAAGTGGATGAAGCTTGCTTAGGGCCTATAGTATGGAATAAACACACATCATCTTTATCCTTAGGTGACCATATCCTTTAGTAAAGTTCCACAATATCGAGCTAATTAAAACTCAGACCTTAATTAGGGTAAAGAAAACTTATTTATGTCCTTTATGATTTGAAATTAATAGGACTTTAATTGCTATCACCTGCAATGCTATTTTTCAGATTGGCTTTAAAGATCACTGTGTAACCATGCACGTACTTTTGTTACCTAAATAATTCAACCACTTAACTTCAATTTTTTAAAATAGAAAAAGGACAAGTCCACTTGATGAACTAACGACCTGGACCTGCAAATTTCCAGATATTATCAGACGTGAAGAAGATGGCAGATCAATGCTAAAACTACATTTTCAAATCATGTCTTTCAGTCTAGTAGACTAGTAGTTATTCTAGCAAACATCTCTGCTTAATTTCGTCTGCATCCTTCATTATCTCATTCTTATTGCTATCACTAATCTTTTTACTGTAAACAGTAACTTCAAACTACCTAAGCAAGTCCCCCCAAAAAACCCCACTGAAAAGCCTTTACATCTCTCTCTCCCAAAAACATGCAATAATCCACACCAGTATTTTGTGATATGCTCACAAGGTCAACATTTTCAAAAGAATTAATGATTAGTAAGACTTTAAATTCTGGGGTGCTAACTTTTTAATCCTGTAAAGAAGTTTTTGGAGAATGAGTTTTGGGATTAAATAAGCCATTATCCAGACACGGGATGTCCACTGATGCACATCACTGACAATCTTCTCCAGAGACAGAAATTCACAAATTCACCCCTTACTCTAGGGAGCATGGTAATACAACAAATACTGACAACTGCCACAGTGCTACCAACCTTCGGCATCACCTTCACTGCAAGGTAAGAAGCTTAAATAATTACTCTAACACTGTTTTAGGATCACAGAGCATGGAGTAGGGGTTCTTTTTAACAAAGCAGGGCTCTGTATCATCTCTTTTACTCCTCCTGCTCTCCTTCCCCAACCCTGGCCTCCTCATGCCAGCACAAAGAAAGCGGAACAAGTCTGAGGGTTGAAGGCTTGAGGCAAGTGAAGCTCCTGATGGAGTGGGGTCCAGGAGTTTAGAGAAAAGGAAGAGCCCAAGTTCCCTCATTGAGTTGTTATTCCTCCCTTCACCTCCTCCCTTAAAACAGTACAGGAATAAACCAGGAAAAGCATTTAATTTCTGCTTCACTCTGCCTGAGTGACTGGGAACTCCCAACGTAACACCAATGAACTGGGTGTTTCTTTAGGAAGCCTGAAACGTCCATGTCTTTCCCCTCTCAGAAATTAAGTGGTGCTAGTTGGGTCATACTCACACATACTTTAAGAATATTTTAGAAAAGGAAACCAAGCATACAAGCCCAACAAAAAAACCCCAACAACAAAACCAAACACCTCACCAGAACTACCCCTGGACAAACTGTATCATATGTTACGGCAATCAGGGACCAAGAAGTTTAAAAACAAAACAAAATACAAAAGAATTGATAAAAGCTTTAGGCAAGTCTTCAATACTTTCTCATGTTTTATCAAGGTATCAGTTAAACCTGCTTCATTCAGTGAAACACCATAGATAGCAAATCAAGACAGGATCTGATCTGACTGATGCAGACCAAATTTTCAAAAGTAAGTTCAACTAGAGCACACTCCAAGAGTTAACAATGTAGAAGAGAGGAAGGAGCTCTGAGGTTAAGGTCAAGGGCAGCATCACAAGGATACCAGACTGAAAACAGGAAAAGAAAAATGTTAAGGCTGACACTAGGAAAACATTTATTATCATGAGGATAATTAGATAATGGAATAATTTCCCAAAGGAAGTTGTTGAGTCAAACACTAGAGGCAATCAAAGAAAATCTAGATAAAAACACCAGGCCATTGATCTGGAGGGCAGCCCTGCACTAATGACCCAAGAGGCTCTTTCCAACTCATTGAGGATTCTCCTCTTGAAAACAACAATTCTGAACTTTCTATACCAACACGTGAACAAAAAGTAACTGCAAAACACTGTACAAAACCAGAGAAGTCCTTTAACTGGAATCTTGTTTTCAGCTTACAGATTTTTTTTTTTCCCTCTGTAGTACTAAGAATCTGTGTCTATATATGCATTCATTACTTCTAAAAAATCCTACCACACATTGATCAGCACAGTGACACCGAGAAGATAAAGAAAGCCATGAAATATATTTGCCAAAGAAATGACAGGAGCTATAAAACTTGCCTTATGAAACACGATGGACATCATGAAGAAATCCAGCAAGAAATTTTCTGAAATGTCTCTGTAGTCAAATCGGAAGAAGATTACAGTAAAGCTCAAAGTAACAAATTGATTAATAGGATTACAGAATGAGGAGCGGAGGAGTTTCATCCCAGCAACTGTTATCAGGATAATATCACAGCTGTAAGAAAGGCAGAAAGAAAAACCTAATCAAGTCAAAGTCATAAAGCATTAAATTATGAAGCTCTTAAATACGAATAGCTGTACCAGATGTATTTTAGACGGCTATGAATATCTAAATCTACACATCTTATTGATTTCTGACATTAATACTATGTTCTTTTAGCAATCACATTTATTTTACCCATGTGCAACTTCGTATTTTTCCTTTATCATTATCACACACTTGTAATCTGTAAAAAAGAAAGAACTCTGTACTAAAAAGAGCAGAATTGATTATTAAAACCCAAGAATCTAGAAAGGATATTTTTACATAGCTCTTAAAATAAAATTTGAGTTTGGGAAATATCTTGGCACTTTCATTAAACATTACTGTAATCTGAAAAAAACATCTTGAACTCCAGGTTTTTTATTACTAGAAATGCCACTTGATGATATAGTTTATAATTATTCTCATAATTTCATTGCCCACAATGCCAAAATTCTGGATAGAAACACCCATAGACATGAAGTGCTTTAAATCCTTACCATTGTTTTTGACCAGAAGGTCGACTGTTCTATATAGCAATTCCCTTCATCAGATGAAAAGAAATTGCATGTTGCATCTATACGTTCTAAAATGCATACAATCTGCATTTTACTCTCCCTTATTGTACTCCAGAGAGTGAACTTAAGCTGAGAACTCTGACTAGTAAGTAAGCACGCAGAAAATCAAAAAGTCTAAAAATTAAAGTGCTTGCTGACGTATCTCCAAGAAGATAATGTTCTTATTTGAACTCTACAGAAAACTACACAGTTTTCCGTGTAAGAAAAGAAAATACAATTATATGAGAAGGAAAGATGGAGGTAATGTGTTGGCACCCCTTGAATTTAAATAACCACTCCAGTCTCCGGATACATATCTGAACTCAGAACTTGTGGTTGTTCACATTTTTAAGATTTGGTTTTAAGATTCTTTACGGAATTAGAAAGATGGTCTTGCTTGGACAGCAATTTTGATCTCCCGGATAATACAGCCTATTCTGGGGGTCAGATCCTAGAAAGGTCTCAGACACACATTATTAATTTTTAGATCACCTGAGTAGAATGAAAATCCAACCTTGTCTCTTTCTCCAGTGCGAAGGGACAATCAGGCAGCAAGCAGTTGTCTAAAGCTAGCCAACCGGAAATCCTCAGGATAGTGATGTGTCTGAAAATACTACCCCAGGTCGAAAATACTACCCCATCCTAATTCACTTTGACCTAAGACTGCAGGTGAAGATCTTTGTCTCCCCCCATCCCCTCCAGCACAGCTAAGTGCTTCCCATCATTCTTGCAGGGAACTGAGCACAGATCTTTTCTTTCAAAAGAGCAATCATGACACCAGACTTTTCAACAGCAGCCTACTGGTTAGGCTACTTCCCTGGGAAGGAAGGAACCCAAATCCAATCACTTTCCAGCTCTGGAGGGTTTCAGACCCACATCTCACCCTCAACTCTTCCTTCCTTGGCTGAATCTGTGCCAAGGAGTTAAAGAATTTTTTAGCCAGAAAGGCAGAACGTGATTCTACATCCCTGTTGATGGGCACTCCCCTGAAAGGCGACACAGTATTGGGCTCCAGGACATAAGCACTTGCATGGTTCTGAATTTTATTCAACAATCACTAAAAACCACAGGAATAGGTCAGGAGCGGGAATTGGAATACATGATTCCTGCTCCTGTAAGAATTGTCTTACCACCAAAGCAGAAGGAATCAAGAGCAAACTTCTCATAGCCTCTACTTTCCCAGTAAGTGCTTAACAGTTGGACTCCTGTTAAATGAAACGGGCAACAGCACCTTCTCCATCAAGGTTTTTCAATAGAAGGAAATCAAAGCAGTATTTGTGAATTCAATCCTGATCACATACCAGGGAAGCTGCAAACCAGCTCTCAGCTCAGAACCTTTGGGTTTCTGGGGCCTAGTTAGGATAAGATAAGAGTCAAGTGATTTATTCAGAAAGCTCTGGGAATGTTCGAGTTCATTAGGAGGTTCAAGTCCTAATGAACCATCGCGTCAAATTCAGGAGTACTTAGTGATATTAGATACCCTCAGGGTTTTCTGGCAGTTGAATATTTGGATTGCAGGTTTGCATGTTTCTGCCCAAGAACTGTACTGGATCTATTCCCGAAAAGACAACCCAAACCTAATAGACATGTACAAGTAACTCCCTGTGAACTGAGAGCCAGCTGACTTCTCTTAAGTAAATTAAGCACACTCAATTTTTGGGAGACGGATTGGTTTGATGCTGGTGAAAATAGATGAGGACTTCAATGCATAATGAGTGACTCAAAGTAGGCCAGGTATTTGCAAAATGTATGGAAGGTTCTTCTCCATCCTGCTGCAAACAAGGAGACTACCTGCTGCCACGACTGACACTTGACAGGCCAGAAAGCTCTAAAGATGTTTTCATCATTCTAGAAAGGCTCAGAAGTCTGTACATTTCCAGGTTGATTTTATGAGGCATTTATTCATTATTGTGTGTCTTTCATAATGCAGATGCAACTTTATTTGAGTGCAGGTCATTCTAAACGATCACCAAGACATCACTGTTGAAATGAAATGCCAAGCTGACCTTATTTCTCACCTTGTCAAAGCTGTTCTTTTCAATTTGCCCCAGATTTCTGAATGGAAAACTAGCAACTAGGCTAAATAGATTCTGAAGCCACTAGAAGCCATCCCAGTGTGTCCTGTGTGAACCGGTTGGATCTCACATTCTTCGGAAAGAAGGAAATTATTGCAACATTGAGGAATTTTCACACGGAATACTTACAGATCATAGAGCAAGATGAAGACTTTTTCCTCACTGGATCTGTTAACACGTGGAAAATTTCACCAAAAATGACATTTTATAAAATAATGCTCTCAAGAGCACCAGAAAATAATTTGCTCATTATCCCTCTTCTTTAAAGATATTGCCACTCAAGATGCTTTTCCTGGGACCATAAGTCCCAGCAGAGAGAAAGCAAGAGAGAGACAGAAGCCAGGCTGATTTCAGAAGCCTCTGTGGCAGGTAACACGGGCAGGCTTTTCAGCTTGTCAGCGTGCATCCCGTTAATAACCAGCACATCGGGGTCTGGAAAGCTCAAGCAAACTCCTGACTGTGAAGAAGCTGTTCTGCCTCCTCAAGAAGAAAACCGCTTCCATCCTTTAAATCACAAAGCAAGATGAAGCTTCTTTTAAAAATACGTTCAAATTGAGAAAAATTCCAAAATCAAATTATGCAAAACATACTACCGCAGACACAGAGCGGGAGAGTGTTGCCTTCCCTTCTCTAAGGTACAATGTGGTCTGATTTTTGGGTGGTAAATAACTAAGGAAATATTGCAACAACAGACAATGGGTATTTACGCGTTAGGGCAAAGGAAGTACAACCTTCAGTAACACTGTTTATGGAATGAGCAAGGAGAATCCAGGATCCCTCACGGGCTTACAGAGTTGAAGAGAAAGAGGTCGGATCTGAGGACAAATGTTTTGTATGTGGCATTTACATGGTAGCTGTAGGTGAAGCGTATTAAACAGGGGAGTGCCAGAGAAGAAGGGATACTGCTGGGAGTGTTGTGATTAGACCTCAGTTACAAGAAAAAGGAGAAAACACAGGTTTTAAATCCAAGGTGATCACATAGACACAAGGGAGAGAGGGAAGGAAAGGATTGTCATGGTATTCCCCTACGGCCAAACGATCAGAGGCAGACAAATGTAATTACTTTCTTTAATCTCAAAATTTCTGGGGGACTGACTCACTACTTCTGAACACTTGAGGGAGGTGATACTTTCAAGTGCAATCTAGCTTGGAGGAATGACTCTATAAAAATAGCACCTTCCTAACCCTACATATTTACTCCGTGCGTGTATTCAGTCATGTCTACTAACTAGTGACAAATGACATTTTGATTACTTTTTAGTTCTCCGAGCACCAGAGGGATAAGCGTGGACTCAGTTTCACCCCAGACAATACACCTAAACTCCTGAAGCACCTTGGCCTTCGCATCTCCCAAGTGCCTGGAGGAAAAAGGTCAGTGGGGAAATACACAGGGTATCTGAGTGACTGGTGAGAGTCTCCCTGGAGAAGTAGTTGTCTGGGAGGAATATGCAGAAAATTTGACTAACACCCTAGTCCTAGTGTCAGCCCCTAAAAGCAGGGATCACCTTTTCCTTATAATGTAGTCCCTAAAGCTGTATTGCTCTTCAAGAGAGAAGAATAATTAAAACAACATGCAATTTTTACATCAAAGTTCTTTAATATTTAAAATTAAGATTCTAGATTATTATTAATACTGAGTAACTCCCTCTCCTCCAGCATTTTTTCCTGCTACTGGAACCTTCCTTCCTGAACACAGGCTGTTTTCTTTGTTTTTATCATCTGCATCACTGTCATCCTGATAAAAAGACTGCAGAAACTTTGCTCGCTGGGGATACTGCAGTCACTAAGCCTGCTGAATATCTGCAGTAGGCAAGTCACTGACCAAAATATTTACCATAAAAGGCTGTCTGCAAGGATCATATTGTGTTTTCATGGATCAGCATCACCAGTTCTGCTTAATATCAGAGACATCAGATTATGGAAAAAAACTTGTATTCCCACCTCTCTCAAACTACTCTTAATGCAGGACTACCCATCATTCTACGCTGCTGAATATTTTATTCAGTCTTGCCTTAAAAGACTTGTGTGTGAAGCTTCCAATAACTCCTTTGGGAGGGTACGCCATAGTCTGAAAAATGCTTGGTTAGGAAATGTTTCCTGATATCCAGCCTAGATTTCTCATTTTCATCTGATTAATTCTAGTTATCCCACTGTGTTTATGCCCATCAAACACCTGCAGCCTGGTATAGCATGTCTTGCTTTTAATTGACATTTAGACATTCCAGATATATCTATATATAGCTCTTTAATCTTTTAATTTCTCTCCCTCTCACTGGAGTCATGTCTTAGCAAGTGCTAGGGTAGTTTTGCTTTTCTCTTTCACCAGAGCCAATGATTATTGTATACTGAACTGATAATGCACAAAAGCAAACTGCGACAGGCATCAGACTTAAGATACAAATTTCATTTCTCAATCTTCAGTCTAAAACCAAATATTCTACTAATGACATTCTTTGAGTTATAATCTACTTACTGTGCACCAAGCTTCTTGTATTTACTAATTGAGAAAGCATCAATGGTGAGGGCATTCAGTATTATAGCTGGATACAAAATGTATTTCTCAAAGCACTGAAGCCACACATAGAGCCTTTCAAACCACATCAAATGAGGAGCATCTGAAATAGAAATTCAGATAACAGGTAGTTTCATCCAATTATCAGCATTTTTTGCACTGCAATACCATAGAAGAAATGAGTTAGCTCACATTAATAAATATAATCAAGTTATGAAACAATGGAATTCATAATTCTTTCGCAATAGAGAAATAATTTTGTTCTCTGAATTTGGAGATTCTCTCTTTTGCTGCTTCTAACTGCACTCATGAGAAACACTCAGAAACAAAAGGAGATGGTACATGCTAAATGGCAGTTTCTACACAATCCAATTGCTAGTCATTATATTAAATAGCACTTTTAGTGATGTAATGACTGCAGAGAGGCCCTCTCCAGCTCTGGCACTGACCTGGTGGTGACCTAGGGAACATCATTTGAACTCTGTGCCTCTCCTTCCCCATCTTACAGTGGCAAAACCACTGTTCATTAGACTGCAAAGTATCATTGACCTCATTGATGAATGAAATATCCTTCGAAATCTAAAGGCTGAAGAATTAACAGGAGCTAGAAACTGTCATAGATGTTTCTCAAAACACTTAAACAGCCGTTGTAAAAAGTATCTGCCAGAATCACATCATTCACCACTAAAGAATACGTTTTTTTGCAGCAGACTTTTCTAACACCACCACAGTGCTTAACATGAGTATTAAACAAGAACTGAATGCTCTGTGCAATTCAACTGCTAGGAGAACTTAGGTGAACTGGGTGCAGAAACACTTGTGTTTGTGTACGGACAAAAATAATGTTTTTATTCTCAACTGAGCTCAGCTAGGCACGGTTATTGGAAAAACAGTGAAGGCAAAAAGGCAGAACTTGGTATTGACTCAGAAATAACCGTGCCAGCTACTGAATCTCCAATACTCTTCCCTGCAGAAATGAAAATAATTACATATACACATCCCACCCTCCCACACACACCTTTTCAATGACAAGCAAAGAAGACATGTTGAATCAACAGATTTGTATGTTCTACAGGCACAGTTGTATATAGTATAGGCTCAAAGATCTAAATGCAATCCTTCCAAATTAGCTTTAAGTCATGCTTTGCCAGTATCTTAAGCTAAGGCAATGCTCTTGCAAAAATCTGCCTTCAGAAAACATGATCAACTTCTGTTTCTTGTTATAATGTAAAAATATTTCCTTCTCTTATTACCTAAAGGCCACCTCCTAAAAAGTTCATACAAGCAGCGAAACATACGTTTTGGAACCTAGCTGTTATACTCCATTCCTCTCTCCTCCTCCTGAACTACAAATTGCTCTCAGAGCTCCACTCAAGAACTTCATCCAGCTGCCCAAAGCTGAGCTCTGTGTGAGAACTCCAGCTCGCATAAAGAGATGTGCATATCAAGTAGATCAAAAAGAAGGTAGCTGCAGGAGCAGAGAGAGATGCATGCAGACAATGCAGACAGGAGAAGAAAAAGAAAAAAAAAGTGCGCTTACTTTCAGAGGGGGCCCAGGGAAAGATGTGGATGATTTGAAAATGGCTTACATGAATCTGTGGGGTATAAAAGCAGTGGTGGGAAAGAAGGAGAAGAAATAGCCTCTAGTGTTTCAGGGTTTCTTTCTCACTCAGTCCTGCACTACTTTCTACACATCTATTATACCATAAGCTCATACATCTTGACCTCAGCCTTTCTTCCTGTAGTCAGGGAAAACAATGACAAGTAGTAAATGAGTTATCTCATAGGGGCATCATGAGAACTGGTCTGACAATCGCTATTCTGTGGAAGGCCTGAAAGTTTGAACAGCTCACCCAGAGTCAATGAAACAAAGCCAGGAATAAACTTGTGGAATTGTCATTACCAGCTGCCTGTCTAATTGCACGCAATCATTCGTCTCCCCATAGCACCACTCTTGTCAAAAATTGGGAAGCTGAAAATGAAATTCTATGCAGTAAAAGCTCCTCGCAGACCTCTTGTTTTGTATACTTGTCCTTTCATTGTCCATGCCCGACAACTACAGGATACTGTCCTTTTCCAAGATTCTCTTACTATACAAACAAGGAACCTTTAAGTTCGGCTCCTACATTTTTCTTACATGGTAAAAGAAAGATGACAGCCTGTCAGACATATCTATCAAAGGGATTATACAACCTTTTCCCCAGCCTGTCTCATCTCAGAACATGATAAAAAGCCTCTGCAGCAGCTGAAGGGACTGAAGTTTTGTGGTTCCCCCCCCCTTGTTTTCTAATACACAACCCAGATACCCTGCAATAATACTTAAGCCCCAAAGCACAGAAATGGACCACATACAAAATGAGGACTGCAAAAGAAGGAGAAAAGGCTGTTGCCTGCAGCAGGCAGCATGAGAAATGCAGCTGATCTCAAAGCAGAAGGGTACCCATCTGTGGATATCAGTCTGACAGATCTCTACCCTCAACCTTTTCAAAAGCTGAGTCACTGCATTTAGGAAAACAATGTTTTCTGACAAATTAAGACAGATTTAATCAGGACAAGTCTTTTTACAGTAGTCTTTTATGATTAAGTGATGTAACAAACAATAAAACTTGGGTATTCATCAGAATGACTGATTATCAGGAAGAAGCAGCCCTGAACAATGTTTTCAGTTGGGCATGATCCTTAATAAGATTTATATTTCTACTTCACTTTCCTTGGCATATTGCAGTAAAACTTAAAAGGCAACCTTCAATCAAGTCTCTCGGGTACTTTTTTCATACTCAAGCGTCGTTTGGAAAGTAATCTTTTTGAAAGACATGATTTTAAAAGAAAAAGATTTAAATCCTTAATGCATGGTTTTGCAGACAGTGATCTGAACTCTTTTGTTGTCTAGTTGAAGAACAGACTAAAGTCCCTCAGCAGACTGTGTTCTGACAACGCTGTCTTCAAACACCTCAGGAACATATATTGAGAATGATTAAGGCACAGGATCCATCAAGAAATGACAAGCAAGCTTTTGGCTGGTAGCAAAGGCAAGATGAGAGCTGGGAGGAGAAAAAAAAAGCTGTGCTTCTCAAAGTACACTGGCTGCTTGCAGAAATAACTGTATCAGAACAGGAAACCAGACCTTGACATACTAAAATATTTACCGATACTCGCACGTATCAGGGCACTACCCACTGAAGCCAGCAGACATTACCAAGAACAAATCTTCAAGAAAATTTCACAGTTCCCTTCAATTTTAATGTTCCTCTAAAAGTGTTACGATGGAAATTAGAACTCTAAGTTGCACTACCCTTGCTGTTCAAATGATATACAGTTATATGTCAGAAAGTAGAAAAAATTCTGTCTCAATTTCATCATTTCAATTTTTAAATTATATAAAATGCCAATCTATTAAGCATGAACTATAACATATCAAGCAACACAGCAAGTGACAGTACTGTAATGTAAAAGCAAAAGGCAGATCAGACGACAGCTCACGAAAGGCCACTTAGGGCCAGTAAGATGATGAGGGGACAGGAGCATTTGACATAGGAGGAGAGGCTGAGAGAGCTGGGATTGCTTAGAGTTGAGAAGAAAAGGCTCAGGGGGATATCTTAGTAATGCCTGATTGGGGGCATTTTGGGGGTATAAATACCTGATGAGGAAGGTAAAGTTGACAAAGCCAGACTGTTCTAAGTAGTGCCCAGTGACAGGACAAAAGGAAATGGGCACAAATTGAAATTCCATTTCAACATAAGAAAAAAAACCACAAACACAAACTCAACCTTTCTTACTGTAAGGATGAATGAATGCTGGAGTAGGTTGTCCAGAAAGGTTGTGGAGTCTTCATGCTTGAAGATACTCAAAACTGGACACAGCCCTGAGCAACCTGCTCTAACTGACCCTGCCCTGTGCAGTGGTCTCAGGAGACAACTGCTACAGGTTCACAGATTTGCTGGTGACTGGGGGATAAATGCAAATTATGGATATGCATGGTATTCAAGAGGAAACTGTAAAGCATAATTTATTCTCCCTGCTCTGTTCCTTCTGGATTTTTTTTTTTTTTAAAAACCAAGACAAGCTGCAAGTCATTGCATTCATTGTTTAGAAAATATTTTATTACAAACCTCTCACTTCCCGTTGCTGGTGCTCTCTGCTTTTAAGTATGGGGTGGGAGATCCACAGCCAGGGGTGATGCTTGCGAAGCTGAGGAAGTACGTAATGTGTTACAAATCCCACAGTCCATGCTAAAGCGAACAAGACAATGCTGAGAAATGGCTGGGCCAAGAGAGAAAAAAATGAAACATGGTTATAATTTGCAAACAACATTTTTATAAAAAACTTTTTTTTTTACATTTTTTAACAGTTCCTATAATTGTATTTGTGCAATTAATTTTCTCCTGTGTTCAAACTCTCCGACTGCACAGGTGGATATGGATTTTGAAACATGTATTTCGCACACATAATTAACCAATTTTTTCCTCCCTAACTGGAGGAAAAAAGCAAGTGATCAGGCTTATTCATTCTGTCCCGTAGGTTCCTTATCATAAAAGAGCTGTGGATATACAGAGGTTTAAGGAAAGAGATGTCAAATAAGTAACACTGAAATTAATACAAATATCCATAAACTAACTGCCTTGCACATAAAAAAAAATAAAAAATGTTCTCATGACTAGTAAATAGGTTTTCACTAAATTCTCTTCCCACAATCTCTGTTCTTTCCAGTTAAAGCACCTTGTGGTTTTGTATAAAAGAGATAATACCTTAGGGTAAAAAATAAAAATAAAAAAAAAGATACGCACCCTTAGTGATAGAAACACAGTACTGGCACTGACAGCAAATGATAGAACAGCAGCCGCTGTGCAGACAATGAGATCCGATTTCAAGATTTCTTTCTGTGAAAATAATTATTTTATACAAAATTAGCAAGCCAATACTATTTTAACCAAAGTAAACGACTCTGGTCTCAATTACTTTCAGTCTGCATTGTGATAAGGCTAATCAGCACTCCTCGATACAAAAGTATTTTCTCCACTCTGCTTTGGGAAATTATTTCTTCACACTCTAGGTTTGTCAAAGTAATCACATTTAAATTCATCATGCTTAACTTTAAATTGTATTTTTTAATAACATAGTTTTAAGATTGGAGAAATGAAAGCAATACATCTTCATACCGAGTCTGATTCTGTTTAAGGAATATAACTCTTTCACATTATGACTTATTTATTTTTGGGAATCAAAATCCTGGTTCCATTTCCTATTTGCAAGCATTAAGATTTCTTCAGATTAATTTTCTCTTGTACTACTGAAATGACTCAGGCTTTTCTGTAATGTCTTCAGAGACACGAAGTTAATACATTTATTATGTTCTAAAGAGACATGTCCCATTCTCTGATTTTCTGTATTGGAAGTCAAATTTTGGCAAGATTTTATGGATTTCAGACAAGGCCTTTTCTAGTGTCACTGAGTGATAATGAAAGGACACGTCTGCCTTTGCTTAAAGATCTATAACTAGGGTAGGAGTAACTTTATTTCTAAAGATTGGAAAATATCATTGTCTTTCCAGCCCGTTTTTCTTGTGATTAAAATGTCATTCTCAGTAAACAAATAAAAAAGATAGCTTGCGATCTGTGCAATCTTCTGAATTGCCCTTCAGAGGTCACCCAAATGTCTTTGTCAGTAAATGAAAATTTTGCCTTAGATTTATGAGAGGGGCATTTAAGTTCAGCACTCAATACTACCGCTAAGTTATCAAATGAGTAACTATTTATAGCTCTTGGTTTAGTAACTGACTTATGCTTTAATTCAAAGACATCTAGAAACAACACGTGAAATGCAACGCTTCTGTTAGAATTAGCTCATCCGATTGCCTGGTGCTGCAATCTAGATAGTCTTCATTTTCTCTCATCAGAGAAAAAGAAAGAAAACCAAAATAATGATGGGATAGCAAACCTGCGAATAAAGGAGGTAAAAAAGCAAGCAGAACAAGTGAACAACAGAAGGGTTGCGAATTACAGAGGAAGCTGGTAGCAACCACTATATTTAGGCTGCCTATCACTCCCTGTTATGAAAGCTGCTTCTTAGTAAAAGGTCACAAGCATCAGCACTTCCACTTACTGCAGCAGGCCTTTGAAATTCAGCACGACTAAAAACCCTACAGGCTCAAGAAGTGCTTTTCTTTGTCCCAGGCAACTCCAATCTGTTTTAGCTGACTTCTCAAGCCCTCACCACTGTCCTTCCCTCCCCCAGGCTGCTGGGGAGCACACACTCCAACAGGACAGCCCTGCACTCCCCGCGGACTAGAGGTGGGAAGGTGTAGGAACACAGTTAGGTCTTCCTAACTCTTCCCGACCATCTTTTCAAAACGCAGCCTTGCTTCTTGGCTGTCATATGCAACAAGAGAACCACAACATGAGGGACCTCAAAGGAAAGGCCTTCTCCTCCCTGAACAAACCTTTGATCCCTGCCTGTCCCCACAGATCCCCTCCATTCGGTTCAGACCTTCTCTCACTAGCAAGTTGTGCCTCCATCTCCAACAAGTGCTTTTAGTATGTGGAGCAGTACTGAAAAATGGTGGTCATAACCTGATAAAGATGGATAAGGCGATTATTACCAATGCATGTAATGAAAATTATTTTTTTCTGATCTTTCCAAATGTTTTTAAAGATGTTTGTATACAAAAATCTACACAAAGTAGCAGTACTTAGCTTATAAAATTCAGCACATGAGAAAGTTAAGCAGTGCCAAATTTACATGGCACTATTTCAGTCCTTTTGTGAACACATATTATGAAAAGTCTTGATCAAGTATCATTCTCTGCACAGCTGAATCCAACTACTCAATAATCTAAAACAAGCTTATTAAGAACAACAAACACACTCCAATCATATTTTCAAGCTCTTCTGTACAACTAGAAATGATTACTATTAAAATGACTTATTTCTCTCACAGTCAGGTGACTGAAGAAGCTGCCATTTTAAGAACTACATCAAATATTAAGAATTTAGCTGTAAAATCAACAGAGGTGATAATAACAGACATTTCAGGGAGAGTCGGCATCCGAACTTTCCATTCTGTACCAGGACACCAAAGAGAATCTTTTCAAACGATTACGTTCAAAAGAGAATGTATTATACATTATATTGCAGGACCGGTATTTCCCACCTTTCCCATCGTTGAGTTTGCAAGAGTTCTTTTTAGGGTGCTCTCACTACTTTTGACGCATTAACAATCCCATACAGGAAAAGGCCTATGTTTTTAAAGCAGTAATTATTATTCAGGTATTTAACCCCAAATTTGACAATTGCACTCCAACTCCGGTAACATTCAAAGTGTTTAAAGTATCATATACACCCAGGTTTGCCCTTTTGCCCTTGCACAGAACTGTTTCAAAACGTAAATATATTGCTCAGCTGCTGACTTGCACACTGGTCCCCACAGGAGTCCCTCCTTGATGTGACAGACACTTTCAAACTTCTCACAAAATGCAGGGGTTTTCTTCCTTCTTAAACAAAGCTGAGCAGTAGCTGCTTTTGTTTCATGTCATGGTATGGTGGTCAGGGTCAGTGGTCAGGGCCCTGGGTATCTCTCTGGCCAAGGAGGATTCAGAGCCACCTTCCAGGAAAAAACCTTGGGCATCCACCTACAGCGTGCCGTGGGTGGATCCGCAGCTTTCATGAAGGCAGCTAGCTCCTGCAAAGCACGTGCCTACCTTGGATGCAACTCTGTTCCCTATCCTGCATTTAGACTCAACTGTCTAAAGCAGGATTTTGGATTCCATTCCCAAGGCCAGGCACTTATGAACTGAATGCTGAATAGCCCTACGATGTGATGCTCGAGTCCTTCGCTGCAATTGGTCCAATGTGGAAAAGTTAAGCTCTGATCACAGTTAAAAATCTCTGCAGTGAGAGATAATCTCTGTTATAGTTTGGGCTGAAAGCAGGCGTTCTTTTTTCTCCATTTTACACACAAGGAAGAAAGGAAACCCCAAACCAACATTGCGACCATTTGATGCCTCAGATTTTACAAGCAGAATATACTATAATGGTGCTTTTTTTTTTTTAATTATTATTTTCAATTATGCTTTTGGAGCTTTGTATAAATCCTTTTACTAGCTATCTAAATGTTTGTATTAAAGGCCAGGAAGGAAGCTGAGTTTGAATGTAACACATTAGCACCCTCAGGCCACTGGTTAATCTAGTAATCAGCCATGTGGATGCCTATAGAAATTAATTATAATGGTAGGAGGCTCCATTCTCAAAAGTTGAATGGTCAATTATCCATCACAGCTGCTTTATAATTCAGGCTTCCAAAGCTGGCAATTCTTACACAGCTATTCAAGCAAAAGAAAATAGTAAAGGTCATGTAACTGAACATTAGAGACGCTGTATTTATTATTCCCAACATCAATGCAAAGCCACTACAGAATACAACACATTAATTTTCAATATTAACCTTGTTTGCTTTCAGCTCCTTGAGGTGGTGATTTGGTTCTGTACACCTCAGGATTTCTGATTAAAATGGGTTGTATTTAAATGGCATGTTATGTAGACCATATGTCTGCATATAGATCAGGGCAAGGTTGGCTGTTGTGTTGGTTGCATCCTGCCATCTCTTGCCACTGACAGGTGGTTAGGAATACTCTCCTCGTAGAGGAGCACTCCAAGAGGAAAAAAATTAACTACAACCATGAAATCTCCTTCAAATACTGACCTATTGTTTCACCCAGTTTTTGAACTGTTTGAAGATCCCCTTGCAGAAGTTCTGGAAGCTATTTAAAATTGGCTTTTAAGAGTCAGCTGAGTCCTACATCCTAACCATGATTGCTGTGCTGAAGCAAGTCAGAACAGACTGTGCCTTGATTGTGCTCCTCAAACTTCAGGCACATGCATTTTCTCCTGCCTCAATTCTTCCCTGCTTGGTCTATTAGCACTGCACCGTGAGACAGCAGTGGGAGTCTTCTGGCAAACTGTTCAATGTTTAATTGAGACAGAGGTACCAGATAACACAGGGGTTAGACAAAAAGCCTGCATTAATCAGAAATTGCCCTCTCTTTCTTCAAGAGATCTCCCAGTGTGGAAGAATTAGCACTGCTAATTGACATTGTAAGCAAACACATTTGCTTACAGTTTTTATACAGATTGAGGGAAGCTTGGACAGAGAAAAAACAAAAACAAAGGCAAAGAACTAGCAAGCTCTAGCAACACTGAAGGAAAGCAGCCTCTGTCTAAAAGCAGCAGCATGGAGTACCAAATGTACAGAGTTAAAAAGTGCCAATCCCCAAAACCAGGAACATCCTGGAAAGCAAAAGGTGCCAGGAATCCCACTTAATTAAATGCAAAAAAAACATCAGCAAAACATGACAGGAATGAGACATGGTGAAGAGAAAAACTCAAGTCCTACATCTGGCCACTTCCACCACTGTCTTCCCTGCATTTCTTACATCTTCCACCCCAGAAGCAAAAGGGCCCCAGTGCAGTTGAACCACATGGTAACTGTGTTAATATAAGACATCAGACCCCGTCCACATTACAGACACAAAAATAGGTCAAGAATCTGCAGCCTGACTCCATTTTGAAAATACAGCCAGGATCTCATATGCGAATTTGTTGTGTTTTTTTTTTTTTTTATTATTTTCAGTATATTGAAGCCTTGCTCAAGATTTCCCTCTGCACTGTGAAATGAAACCAGTACTGCTCCAAGAAGGGCACTATCAGCAAAAGATACACGTGGGATACAAATACTGGGGAACCTTTCCATTACATCTGCCATACAATCCCCATGTACAAGAATGGACCAACAATGAATCATGGCAATACCCTTACACACCAGAAATACCACAAAATATAGCAAAACTAACAAATTATTTTTTACTCTGTTACTACCTGGACATTCATATTGCAGTGTGACCCTATTGCAAACAGTTTAGTTTGCAAGAAACTGTAGCTCAATACAAGACACTAGAAAGAGAAATATCACTTAATCTTCTCTGGGCCTTATTAGAGCAAGCAATTTAAAATAACTTTATATATGGTAGAAAATCACAATCTAAGCAGTAGCTTAGCAAAGAGAAGTAGAAAACAGTAGTGTGGGATCAACTCATGTGTTGAATGTAGGCTGTGTAACACCTTCTAAAATGCCCAATAAATGATTCAAGATGAACAGGAGAGATGCATCTCTTTGAAGGGACATCTGGAGGCCAGGCCAGCTACCACACTAGTAACCTGTACCACTAGCACTACAGACAGTCAGGTCACATCACAGGGTCAAAAAAAGGTAGTCTTGTCTTGCAGGCACTCTCTGAATGCTCCTTGCTTCTGCAAGCATTCAGGAGTTTAGAAATAATTGCCTAGATTGCAAATGCTCAGATGCAGGCATTAGGGATGTGGTCAGAAAGAAGGGCTGACAGTTGGGAAGCAGGACAGTTCATGACTCTAAGAAATGTTAAACACCCCTTAATACTTCTGGAAACTCAATGATCTTCCCACATGAGCTCTTTATAAGATCAACGCCCCTGGTTAACAATTAGCAAGTTTTTTTTTATATAAAAAGACACAAAAAGGAAGATGGGTCACTTTGGATGTTTAAGCTGAAGTGAGAAATGAGCTGACACAAACAGAGCTACATGCCAGACAGTAGGAAATAAACAGCCTGCCAAGCAAAGAAGAGACAGTGAGATGGCGATGCTTGGCAGCAGGCATGCCCCTCTCTCTCTCATATTAGTAAAGTTTCACATGCTTCTTCCATCTCTAGGTGCCAAGTCTGGTCTGTGCTCCACCTGGCTTGGCTGGGGTGGAGGGCATGCAGTCAAGAGTACTTCCTGGCACAGAAAAAGTCATTCCTGAAAACCAGCTCAACTCCTAGCCCTAGAAAAAGAATAACGGCTGTTTTAAACAGACTTAGTTCTGTAGATCAAAACCTGCCCCCCTCCAATGTAGAGAGGGAGTCTGGCAGGACTGCTCACCTTTTTGAGCACTTGATGAACAATCCAGCCTACCTTGTACGCACCACATTGCCAGGCTGTAACTCTGTGCACAGAACCTGTATCAGCTCTCTGAGCACCAGGATGAGATGCCCCATTCCCCAAGCTCTAAGAGTGCATTTCCCATCAACTATATTAAGGAATCAACATTGCCGAGTCCTTCAAAGGAACCCTTCAGAAAGGAAAATGGCAATAACCCCCTTTTCCCTTCTGGTCTCACTGGAAAGAAGATCTAGAGAACTTCTCTCAGTTTCCATCTGTGGATTTAAAGGAAGAGGAGATATATCCTCCCATTTTCTGTGCTTTTGGTAGTTAAATAACTGAGAATATTTTAAGTTTCTTAGTGGGGAAAATGGATAGAAGAGAGCTTTGAACAGAAAGTAATGAAATAAAAGGTCTTACCACTGATTCTCTCATCTTTTCTGGGAGTGGATCTGCTGATGAATCTGCAAATTGTTGACGTAGATAGTGAGGGACATACTTGCATTGAATAAGGGACCTGTTAAAAAAAAAATAATCCTAGTTAGGATACTTCTGAACATGTCTAACAAATATGAATGTTCCTGGGGGGCAGAGGAGGAGGAACAGCCTCAGATTTCCTTCCTCATGTATGCAGTAGCTACCTTATCTCTGTATAGTTGGAGATTGACACAAACCAGCTCTACCTGTGATCAGCATGGAACTTTCTCGTCAAAACGTTAAGGAGTCTCAGCAGTCCGATCAGTGTGACTCAGTCATTCAAAGGAATGAGCGGAGAGGGTACTGTTGCATTCATGCCCTTTACTAATATTTCAGCTAAGATGAAAACAATGTGGGAGCTGCTTAGGCCCACATAGGAAAGGCCAAAGAAGCTATTTCTGTATAAATTGTACATTAATCCCAGTTCAGGATTTGTGTTCTACCCCCTCCTCCATCTTAAAGTTTATGCCACAGGCCACCCCTTAAATACTGTTTCCAATCTCCTTAACTTCCTTTAATTAAGTTCAGAGCTGTTTAAAAAGAAGTCTTAAACCTTTTTTTTTTTAAGGATTATACATTTTTATCATGATTGCACAATAAACATTTGACATTTTTGTACACATTCTTAATCTTAAGGTATTTAACAACCAATTCAGCTGCTGAAGATTTGACTAAGAACATTATAAAATCCGTAGCTAGATTTAAAAGTTAAAATGGATTTAACGGTTTAAGATTGCTTCCTTAAAACAAAAGTTTTAAGGAAAGACAAGTTTGTGTTTTATTAAAGAAGTTAATGAACCGGTGTGTCCTTCCTGGGGAGTGGAAGAGAAGAACAGATTTAAATTATTTCAAAATTTAAAGAGCTCACACTTCCATGCTGATTTGCAATTTACCTGTGTATATTTTACTCCAAGGCTAAACAAATCTCCCTAAGACAGTACACAGCTTCACTTCCTTCCATACGTGAGTTCCATACTGTAATGGACAATGAACTACACACCACCTACACAAAGCTTGATCCAGGTCTAACTGACATCAGTGCCAGCCACAGTAGGCTTTGTATAAAGTTAACGGCAACAGATATAAGCAGTTTGTTGCTTTGCCACATCAGAACCTAGAAACGTATAAATATCAGATTCCCTGAATCTTCTGGATTGTAAAGAAGGAATTTCTCAGCTCTTCAGTAAGATTTACTGGGATGCCAATCTTCTACTAGCGCCCTATATCCTTTCCTTTCTCATTAGAATTCTCCTTTTCCCAAGTTTCTCTGCTCAAATATAATCTCGAATGGCCTAAAAAGCCCTCCACTTCCCCCTTATCTCTCCTGCACTACAGAACTGTGTGTCCAACCACCCTGATTTACCATATGCCTACTACAGCCTTCATACACTGAAGAGCCTCACCTCAAGACACACACAACACACCTCACGAATCAAAGGAGAGAACCTGTGGGTTTCCTTACAGGCCCTCCGCACTGTTCTAGGCCAAGACTGAGCTGTCTGTGAAGCAGAATCCCAGATGGCATGGTGATACTTGCTGCACAAAACCCACTCGCTTGCTTAATCCCACAGCCATATACGTAGTTGCCCAGCTGTCTGTGGACCACCACAGCCCCCATGATGGCCATGTAGCACAGTTCCCACATAGGAAAACTCAAGTCTGTCACTCCTGAGCTACCGATCTATGGGTCTCTCTCTCATGTCACCTCAACCTGCAGATCATAACGTTGGGACTTCTCCCCTGGATCTCCCCTGTTTGCAACGTCAGCTGTTAATACACACTACCTTTCCTCAGATACTTCTAGCGGACTGTGTCAGAGCAGAAAAGGAAGGAGTTAATCTCAAACAGAGAGGCATAGCCTACTGACAGTGACCCTCAGCAACAGCAAAAATTAGCCATCTTCCCAGCACATCAAAAGTCCTTTCTCCTCGCCACAGTGCTATGCAATGCACATTCTGCAACTCCAGTAGCCTGAGCACTCGCTCAACAAAATTGCTCTCCTCCAACATGGCAAGCACACAATTTCCCAGAGGGTGAAATCTGCTTCAGAGAATTTGGATAGTGCTGTTTAAAGAGCACCAGTTTTACTGGCAACCTGATTGTAGCACTTCATTTATTTACAGGACTGATACCAACCAGGCAGACATGGTGAAGAATTTCCACCACATCACAGTATTTTTGGGAGACCATCTCTGTGGTTCTGAAACTCAGGCATCACTCTGGTTGTGTGCTGTACAGAGTAATCAATAGATAACATTTGCAGGCAACTTACATCAGCACAGATGGGTCACTGCTTTGTCTGCTGAGATGATAAGAAAGTGCAACTAGCAGGCCACAGAAAGCAGAGAAGAGCGCTGGAATGTGTTGTGCATCCCAGGGTTCCTGAACAGAAGGACAGAAAGCAAAGTATTTATAAGTTAGGAATGCAGAACTTAAGAAAAAAGTAAAATTAAGTAGGCTAAGCCATACATGCAGTGTTAAATGCACAGGATCTAAATTTGTACACCATCTACCAAGGACTGAAAATCCTTTTTCATATCAAAGTCTATTATTGTGAAAAAGACTGCGATTAGAGGCATGTTTTGTGATTGTATTGTGTAATTCCTCTATAATCAGCAATTAGCTAGGAAACCACATGAAAGGCAGGTTTTCTTTCCTCTTTAAAGAAACACTAGAGGCAAATTCTCATTAAAATGAGATGCAAGTGAAATGAACTGCACTGTGTTTGTCTAAACTCTACATTGATATGTAGTTACTTGACCTGCGGCCAGATTGCATGCAACAAATGCCAATGTCATCTAAATGAGGCAGTGGGGTACAGTTCTGGCATCTCACTCTGAAATCTTTCTGCTGCTTTGTACGTTACATCCAGGCCCTGCCTGGATAAGAACACAGTGGAGAGGGAGAGCGCTCGCTGCCGTACATGACATCTCTGAGTAGGGAGAGAAGAGGTAATTTACACACTCGCCAGCACACTCTGGGCATAACCAAGATGAGAAATTGTCTCTGGGTGACTTAAGCAGCTAAAGTTGGCTAGAAATAATAAGAGAAAGAACATGAAGCTTAAGGAATGCTTATCAAGACTAGCTTCATCTGTAGAGTCCTCTGCTACAAATTCGGGATCCTAAGACATACTTAGGAGTCCTGGCTATAAAAGGACACAAATTTTGTCTATGAAGGGCACAGAAATTTGGTGGATCAGGTCTGTAGCCATTTCACTTTTTAGACTTGTTCAATGCTTCCACACAACTTCTACCTGATCAACTGAATGGAAGGTCACCAGATCCTGACATCACAGCACTTTCTGGGTAGGTTTTGAGAAAAAAGTTTCACACATCCTACAAGCATTTAAGCTAGTACAAACAATGCATCTTCTGCACTGTATCTTTTGCTTGAAACACTTCAAAATTTGTACAGGACCAATATTTTCACAGAATAAAGTAGGTTTAGTAGTCTTACTTTGTGCAGTGATATGCGTGATTTCTTAGCAAAGTTGGCTCAGATTAAGAAACATTCCATTTCTTTCAGGTGCAATGAATACCTGAGTACGACAAACTCAATTTCTTTTAAGGGACAAACATCCAACCCATTGCAACATGAGGCTTCTTTGGAATTTAACCCTGAAATTCTTGTTACCCTAAGAGCAGTATCACAGAAGTGAAATTTCAATTCCAAGAATCACGTTCCCCTCATCATACTACTGAACATCACAAAGATGAAAGAAAGAAGCACCTAGTTCTATCCAACAATCCTACTCAAAACAGCCATTACAAACAAAAAAGAGAGTTACACAGTACTACTGAAAGAATCCAGCACCATTTGTTTGACAAATTAAACTTTACATCCAATTCCACTCTTCATTTCATTGTTTCCAGTTTTGGGGTCAAATACATTTTGGGTTAGTTTTTCCCATGTTTAATCTCAAGTCAGAAATTCGTATTCTTCAAAACACTGAAGAAAACTACCTGAAGTCAAAAAGTTCTGAAAATGGCTGAATCACAGTCTATCCAAATATCCATTGCAATTCCAGGGCAATAAAACCGCATACAGATCCACCCAGCATCTTTTAGTGAATGACTGCCCCTTTGCTCTGCAACTTCTTTCAAAAGCAAACTAGTGTAAAGAGCCCAGCAATATACCTGGTGTTGAAATGTATCAGTAGCCAGTTTGAGAAATCATTCTGCCCTCTTTCTACTGTAAAACTGTACATGGCTGATTCCCCATCCTAATGTCTCAGGAACTCTTTACTTCCATATTTTCAGTATATTACACACAACTTCTCAGTTTGGCTGGTCTGTGCTCCAGTTCCAAAGCATCATTGTCCCCTCAAAGCTCAGCTGTCAGGGAGCCAGGAAGGCAGGCAGGACAGGCATCAATATTTGCTATGTGCCTAGAGAGCAGGATTTTGCAGAATAACGCTCCACAATTTGTACAAAAGATGAGAATGAACAAAGGTGTCATTTCTCCAACATCAGCGTGATGTACTCGACTCCATTTTGTCATTTTCCTCCCCCACTAATGATGCCTGGTAGAGCTTTAAATTAAAAAGATGAAAAAAACAATATAGCTGATAATTGGACAATGATTCTTCTCAGTGGGAAAACAGGAATGACAGGTTTTAGTCTTGGAAGCTGGTATTATCTGTCATACTAGACAGGGAGTTTGACTTCCTACTTTACCTCATTTGGTTGAGGTGACATGTAGTGCTTTCATATACAGTTTTCACTTTGATGCAGACATTCACGTAGTCATTTTTAAAAACAAGTGCAATGGACTTAACAGGGTTAAGGATGAAAGTGATGAGTTACAACAGACCCAGTGCTAGGGGGCTGCTGTTCCATTCCAACCACCAAAACAATCCACTAAAAAGGAAGATAAAGGTGTCTTTGAACTTACAAGCCTTTTACCACTGGCAGAGGTGGGGAGGCAAATGTATTTTTAAAAAGTGGCTATAGTAGTTTTCTGTCCTACATTTTTTTATCCTTTTTGCTTCTTTCTTCCCTTAAAAAAAAAAAATAATGCATGTAGCACACTTATGTTTCAAAGATAAGCTCAAATCAATCATATGTCCTACTCCAGGGACAAAAAGTGCTCTGAATAGAGAACCATTTGTGGCAAGTAGAAATTCTTGTTACTGGTTTTTTTTTTTTTTCACCCCCAGAATATTCCTCTCAACTCAAAGACTTTGCAGATTGCTGCAGCATTAGCATCATTGAAGGTGAAGGTGTTTGGATAGTGGCTGGCTTTTTAAATATGGAGACAAACTCCAGTTGTTCTTCCCAAAGCGCACACACCTGATTTTCCACTCTCTCATGATTTCATCATTATTTGTAGAATCATAGAACGGTTTGGGTTGGAAGGGATCTTTAAAAGTCATCTAGTCCAACTCCCCTGCAATTCAACCAATCTTTCTTTGGTCTTCCTCCTTACCTCCACATCCCAGCTTCATCATGGATCTATACTATTGCTTGTATCAAACAATATGCAGGACAGCCGTTGACAGTCAGCCATTCCACACATGTGATGGTAAATTGAAAGAAATACTATCATCTTATTTCTGAACATATAAAATACTTACTTTCTGAATGAGATTGTAAAAGAAAATCCTCTCCGTCCCCAAAGGTATGAGAAAATAGTAATAACAACTTGTTCTCTACAAGGTTAACTATAAGCTTAACTATATTACCATGGATACTCGTTTTCAGTGAACACTAACAACCAGGAAACGTGAATTATTCATGAGCCTCATGTTACACTGGTTAGAGACAAATTCTAGGGAGAGATGCCCACTAGCCTTATCTTTCCCTCATCCATAGAAAACAAACCACAACTTTCCCAGAAGAGCTCCAAAAACATGACAAGCGATAAGCTACCAGATTACAGATATCACTGCCCATTCTGAGCAATGTTGTCTCTGTTTCTCTGCACTCCGAGCTGCTATGTGTGACTGTATTTTCATCGCTGAACTTTAAAATCCATAAGGATGGAACTGATGCAGGGGGGTGTGTGGGTGTGCTCACACCACCTTACACAACAGAGTCCCGGTCTGTGACTCGGATTCCTCAGCTAGAGAGTAAGTTGAGCAACAACTTCAGGCATGGGGCATGGATACTCATGTTTCACATAATGGTGAGCTTATCCTAAACAAGTGCAGATTTCTACATTCCTACACAGTGACATACTTCTGTAAGAGTAACCCTGGGCCATATCGGATTCTGCAGGCATAATTTACTTTTTCTGTTATATCTGGACAATAAGTTCTTATCATACACAGAAAGCTAAAAGCATAACTATGGAAGTCATGTCTAAAGTGTGAGTCTATGGCTGCAAAGATCGCTCACAAACGTGTGATACCTGACAATTCTCTCCAAAATTAACACTCCTACCAGCTCTTGCTTGAACCTCAGGGGTCTCTAAATTGGGAAGTAATAAAACTAATGAGCCTTGTCTTCAAAACCTCCAACAGGGCTGGAAGTATTTTATGCAGTAGAAACAAAACTGTCTAATAATCGTATACTTCTATTTTTGGACACTTGCACATCCGGGAATTCTGCCTACACATATGGACCCATTCAGTGCTATTTAGAAATTTACTTGGGCAGTCTTAGCGGATTGAGGGAGATGTATGCTTGCAATTCTTTCCCATTATAAAACCCCAAGACAAATATTTCAAAATTATTAGTACACAGATGAAGCCTGCATTGTTGAAAACAGGAATCAAGAAGCATTGTTATTCTGATTAATGAGTTTAAAACTCATTAAACAACAAACCAAACTACATCAATGTGAGCTGAGAATGGTTTAAAATACACACAGGATTTTTAGTAACTGTCCATTGAAGCAACAAATAAGTTACCAGGAAATATTCTTGAGCTATAAGGTAATGGAAACTATGTAACTTTCATTTTAAAAAAATATGCACTTACACAGAGCTGGAGGAGGCAGCTGTGCCACATATGAACACATTCACATCAGTTTAATTTTTCAGACCTGAGTCCAAAATCTGGAATTTTTCCAGGCTGATTAAGATAAAGCACAAGTTCCTTAAACGTTTAAAAAACAACATGCAAATAAACCCCACCAAACAAAAAAGCCGGACAACAAATAATTAACTGGTTCTGGATGAGTTTCAAATGCAAACCAGTCGACTGGAACAGAAGGCAGAAGAGAAGGACGGAATGGTGCCAGAAACCTTTGGGGCTGTGATCTTCTGCCCTACAGCAAAACACTGAATGCGCTGGAATGCTAAAGACTGGTATCAAGATGGCTAAATTCCAGACTGAATATTTGTGGAAAAAGAAGGAGGGCATACCTGATCTTTTTTTTTTTTTTTTTAAAAAATATCCATTAAATATTTGGGCAGAGACCACAAGACAGAAGGA